TTACAAATATCAATCCATTTAATTCTCACAATAAAAAATATATTATTAGTTCTACTAGGTTATGATTATGGCAGAGATGTATTAAGTAACTTTTCCATGATCACACAGCTAATAATCCAAAAAGCCAAGATTCCTCTACAGGAGGTATGAATTCTGAATCCAAGAATGTTTTCAATGATAGAAGCAGCCATCACACATGCTCCTCTCTCCACCAAGTACTCCTCCATCCATGAATATGTCAAATGTGGTAAGTAGTTTAGCAAGTATTGCCTTGTGTCTTTTGAAGCTCTAAAGAAGGACTTACAAACAACCTTGTAGACACTCAGCATGTAATGGACAAGAATACATAATTTTCTAACCCATGTTTCCCCAACCTACTTCAAAGGACTCAGACATGTTTCAAGGTCAATAGGAAACAAGTATCAAGGTTTGGAGAGGAAGCACAGTAAAGCTTCTGACAAACGGAGACCAGTGGAATCCTGGACAACAGCAGTTATTCCAAACCTTTTATCACGTGCCTCCCTTACTATCAGAAAAATTGTGGAATTTTGATGCCCCTTTCTAAGGGAGGCATCAAGAAAACTCAAACTCTGTGTCTTTAATGACCAAGAACACCACATGATTGAATTAATCTGAAATGATTATATTTTCTGGTATTAAGCAGAACTCTAGAAAAAATACTGAGTCAGCTACTAAAAATGTGATGTTTGCACACCTTAATGTACAAGCTTTCACCCATTGTGTGACCCTCAGGAACTCAAAACAAAGAAACACAGTAACACCAAGCATTTATTCCACAATTTCACCATCAACTTTACTCACCAGAAACAGAACCCCTCCATCCTTTTGCAATAATTTGATTTTCATGCAAGTTTTTTAGGAACAGATTATGTGTGAAACGTTAAGATTGCCTGCGTGTTATAAATTTTAGTCCATAAAAATAACAGTATCTTGATTTGTTTTTGGAGTTTACAGAGTCCATATCACATACAGTAACTCACTGAACCATGACAGTAGCTCCATGAGGTAGCAGGATTGGATTTACAGGTGACGAACCTGAGATTTGAGGCTTAGTCACAAGTCCAAGGAAACAGTCTGTGACAAAACTGAGACTTACACCCAGGCCCACCAACACACATAATTTGTAGGTAAATCACACATTAGATTTAAGTAAAGACAGTATCTATTGTACAGGAAACACACTGAAGGAGAGATCAGATCACCACACAGGTTCCTCCAGTGTTTTTTTCCCTTGAAATGGCTTAGAAATGGAATTCTTGATCTATTTATTAATCTTTAAGTAGATGCTGGTGATTACTTCATTTATGTAAAATTAAATTCCAAATTACATCTCTTTTGGTCCATATTTTAAAAATTCAGATGAACTCAAATATATATGAATGTGTGCCTGTGTGTATACATATACATATATACACAGGCACAGATACATATATATCATGATGAACAGGAAAATTTACTATATTCTATTGCTCTTCACACTTCCAAAACATGCTCTTCCCCTTCCCCAATCCAAGGCTGAATATTTGAATTGATGACTTTAATTTAATGAGCAATGAAATGGAACAATGAAAAGTAGTGCATTGCTGTAATTTTTCATTAATTGTAATAAGAAAGTACGTGGTTACTGGAAAACATTTTGGATTCATATAATTATTAACAGATCAGAGGAAATCTAAAATTTACCAATCATATTTACTAGAGTTGAGCCCTTGTTACTTTAGAATTGGTTAATGAAATTCTGATACATACACATAAAAATTTTAGAACATGTGAAATATAAAGAATTTCTAGGTGATCAAATGACTAACATTAGGTTTTGACACACTGGAAAGCTTTCATTTCACTGGATTGAAATGAGAACTTATCTTTACAAGAAAAGCCTGACTGTTCATAAAACTAATTCAGAATTTTTATTTATCTTGAAAGATATTGGTGAAATGTGGAGACAGCAAGACTTTGTGATTAAATGGAATAAATTTGATCAGCACACAATGAAAAAAAGAAATCAACACAAGGAAGAATGATGTATTTGAGAACATTTTTAATAAATAATGTGACAAAATTACTTTTCTGATTATTGAATTTTCAGTATGCAAAATTATGGCTAAAAATAAGAGGCTTCTTACATGAACATAATGAAAACATTAATCACATGGATTGTTCCCTTAGTACTGAATACCCTTTCTATGTAACTTTTTCAAATTATCTAAATGAACACATTTAGTTTTTGGTGAACACCAGCTTTTTTTTTTTTTTTTGTGGTTCAGTTTTGTTTGGCTTTGTTTTCCAGTGGGTTCAGGCCCGACACCTGTGCATGAATAAATGTACATATTTTTCTTCAAATAGCACCAATTATAAAGTCAATGAAATTTATATAACAACAAAAAAGGATCATAAAACTCTATAGTCAGAGGGCATTATTTGGCAATTCTGAGCAAGGAATGCCTCTATTTGCGCTCATAATACGATCCTGTAAGGTTGACTTTAGCCACAACAAACTTGAACACTTTTTTTTTAAGTCCAGGAAAAGTAAGAACCATTCAGTTTATGGCCCACAATAAAGTATGCACGTTACTTCACCATCTGTCATCATTCAAATATTCCAAATACAAACATAGAGCATTAACAAAACAGGTTAAAAACGCTTCTCAACATTTTTTTTTCAATAAGACAAAAAAGGTTAATAGTTACAATGGTTTAAAAATAAAAGTTTAGTGATTGTGCTTTTAAAACCAAAAAAAAAAAAAGATTAAAAACAGTGCATTACAAAAACAGAAATCAAAGAAACTTTCTTAAGTGGCACTTCTGAAGGTTGAACTGACACTACCAGAAGAAATGTGGGCCAGTTAAGAAGTTAAGATAGGGATGTCCTTATTCGATTGGTCATTAAAATCATCCATTTGCCTGTACTCTGCATTTATAACTGCTTTGTGATTGAAAAATAGAGCAAAGTTTTTGCTAGGCTTATTTGTGGCAATGACTAGACAACCAGAGGTCCAACTGGCTTACCCCTACTTATCCAAAAGTACATTTTCAGTAAGAATATACTTCAATGATTGAAATGAACACAAAACGAAGTACCACCGGGGTTACAAAGAATATATATTTACAATGTATTCTACCCCATTCAAATTGTGGTTGTCCCATATTTGCTGTATTTTTAAGCTTTTCTCAGCAAAAGGTGGTAGGAAAGACTAGTTTTGGTGATGTGTTGTGTTTTTAAATCATATTAAAATGAAGGACATTTTAATTTGCACTAGCACTTGGTTATAGAAAGATTATATGTTTAGAGCCCTTGGCATAAGGTTAATTGATCAATTTTGTATCTTTGATCAATATTTTGCTGTAAATTGGCTTGATACATAAGCAGTGCAATGCCATTATCTCAGGGGCAAAATGCAAAAGAATTATTCTTTCGTGCTGGCCAATTACTGAAAGCATGGAGCCAATACATTTCCCTTGCTGGAAGTAAGACCTGATGGTTTGTTCCAACAGCGAGGGAAGAGTAGGGAGATTCTTTAGGGACAGGGAGCAAACAACAATAAAACCCCAATAAAACCTTTAAAAAGGATATTCCTATAAGAGGAATAAAAACAACAGTTTGTACACTCGGATTGCACTGAACATTTTATCTGGTGTCCTGTGTCATCAGACAAGAGGCATCTTGACTGATCATTTCCCCATCTGGTTTCACAAGCCTCTCTAGTTGTCTTCAGCTTTCAGTTTCCTGTAAGAGATGAATTAATTTTAAAAATTTTAGAGCATTGTCTTTTATGTGTTGAATCTTATAACTTAGTGAATGTGTTTTCTTGTTCACTCGCTAGCATACGTTAGAAAGTGCTCCTGGCAACAGATAGACTAGTCATCCTCATTTGCTTTTGATAGTAATTCCAATAGTTTTCTAATTCGTACCAAATTTTACTTCCCATGTTACCCTGGTATTTTCAGGTGAGGTGCAACAGAGAGCGGAACAGGCACGCCCTGAGTTCTCCGCCTTCTCTACTTTCCTCCCAACTTTTATAGCTTAATTTTTATTGGTTTTATATATTGGAGTTATCCACAATGACTTTTTTTTCCATTGAAAATGTTCTTTAAAAAAATGGAAAAGCTTTTCTAAAAGTGTTCACAAATGCACAGTTTTCTATTTTCAAATCTGAAAATAAAAACATTGGGGTTTATAAAGAATTAGGTTAGATACTCTCCATTTTTCATTTTTTAACCTAAAGATCTGTAATTTTAAATCTTCTAATTTAAAAAAGGGAGCTCCGGTGACGTAGAGGGTAGGGAATTGCACGCAAAATCAAATTCACCAACTGCTCTGCATCAGAAAGAAGGGCAGTCTCCTCAGGGCTTACCGACTTTGGAAACCTGCTGGATGGTCAGCAATGAGTCGCTGGCAATGTGTTTGAGTTTTGAGTTATTTTTTAACTTTGAAAACACTCTACAATTTTAACCTACCTTTTATCTAACAATATAAAGCATGTCCTCTGCTTGTTTCTTACTAAATACAGAAAACACAATCTTGAAAAATGTAAAGTCACTATATTACTTACTGCCAATTTTTCCTATACATGTAGATAGCATATACTTAAATATACACCTCAAGTATATAATAGAAGTAGTAATATTGTTGTTGTTAAGTGGCATGGATTAGAACACAATTTACAACGACCCTATGAACAAAAGACTTGAATCCTGTTCTATGACTATCGTCATTTTTCTAAGTTCATAGAGTTTCCAGAGGGATACTCTTTAGGAATTGGATGCCACGCCTGTTTCCAAGTTCGTCTTAATCTGGGAGCTCCACCAAATACTGTCTGCCATGGGTAACCATTATGGCATTTGAGACACCAGTGACACAGTGTTCAGCATTGCAGCAACCACAGTACCTCAGTATGGCAAACTGACAGATCAGTGCTATACCACTTAGAAGAATGTGAGTCTCAAACATAATTAACACCAGGCCTGAAGGCCCTTTATCAGATCATGTTGACTTTAAATAAGAAGTTTCCTGCCCGCAGCTCATTGTTAGTGAAATTCAGCAAATCCAATGAGCTCACACACTATTGTGAGTGAAATAAGAAACAACCAAAGGGTCCACATCCAACCCTCTATCAACATAAAATATGCCACCTTCCAGAATCCAGTGGCTTCATACATCAACCCCCAAACTGGAGATTTAGGGCCCACCTGACTTTTAAATACTAAGGCCATTCACCAGGTCCTGTTGCTTCTTACAGTAGTAATAAGCACTTAAAATTCTGGAAAAGCTTTTAAGTGAATCATTAAATCTTTAATATTTCAGTTTCTAGCATCACTGGCACTATGTAACTAAAAGTTTATTAAGAAATACCAACATTTCTGTAGACGGACAGATACCACTAACTTTGAAGCTGATAAAACTAGAGTCCAATATGGGAAACTTAGAGATGAGGAAATCATTATTACCTCTAGTTCTTCGTTATTATCTTCTCCTCTTTCATATCCTCCAAGAACTTGCATTTCTGCAATGTTTCTTCGACCTACATTTGCTTGTTCTCTTTGTCTGCTTCCTGATCCTCTTGATGACATTGAGCTTGAGGAACTGGGATCTCTGGGATTATTCGATGTTGGAAAAGTAGGTCTGCAGTAGGGTAGGATATCCTCTGTGTAATGAAATATAACAAATCCACATGAACATCATAATGTACACTCCCTGGCTGATGCATCTCTCTTGAAGTCTATCTTAATGGGGAAATGCCAGTAGTTTTCATAATAATAACTGAGGATATAAGAAATATAACACAGGACTATCTTCTTTCTTAAAATAAAAAGTAAAGATAGATTTATTAGACATCTACATCCCAAAGTGACACAAAGGAAATATGGAAGAAAGGCAGCAAGGTCAGAGCACTGTCATTTTAAAGAGTCTAATATGGGAGCTCAGGGCATTATGGGTAAGGAGTTATACTGCAACCCAAGGGATATGGTTTGAATCTACCATCTGTTTCATGGGAGAAAAACAGGCCATCTCTTCTCATGCAATTTTCAGTCTCTGAAAACCCACTGGAGGAGCAGCTATCTGCTCCAAGTCCATGACAATGAGTCAGTTATGTTAGGGAAAGTGGTAGACATGGTTAGGTCCTTCACTACTAACTAACTGAAAGGCTGGAGTTTAAATCTACCCTTGAAAGAAGAGCCTGGCATTCTATTTTAGAAAAATCACAGCCATTGAAAACTCCACAGAACAGAATTCTATTCTGACACATACCTGTGATACTGTAAATGAAAACTGACTTAACAGTAACTTGTTTGGGTTTAGTTTTGTCTTTTAAATAAGAAAATAACAAACCTCATTGTTTCCCCAGTGTTGTTGTTGTTGTTATGTGCCATCGAGTCACTTGTGACTCAACGACCCTATGTGCAACAGACCTAAATTCTGCTCTGTACTGTGCCAATTGCACTGTCTCTGACACTCCCATCCCGATTAACCCAGTCACTGAATCAATCCACCTCATAGAGGGCCTTCCCCTCCTGTGCTGTCCCTCCACTCTCCCAAGCATGATGTCCTTCTGCAAGGACCGGTCTCTCCTCACAACATGTCCAAAGTATGTTAGACGGAGCCTCAGAATCCTTGCCTCCAAGGAGCCACCCGGTTTAACTCTTTCCAGGACGAATCTGTTTATTTCTGTAGCAGTCCATGGAACTCTCAATACTCTTCTCCAGCACCACAGCTCAAAGGCACCAATTCTCCTTCTATCCTCCTTGGTCACTGTCTAACTCTCTGATCCATAACAAGTGATTGCAAAGACCGTGGCCTGTATCAGACACACCTTAGTCTCCAGAGAGACACCACTGCTCTTCAGTACTTTGGAGAGGTCCCTAACAGCAGACTTTACCACGGCAAGGAGCCTTTTAATTTCCTGGCTACTGGTGCCAAGAGTGTTGACTGTGGAGACAAGCAAACTAAAGCTGTGTACAATCTAAATCTCTTCACCATCCATCCTGATGCTGCCAATTGGCCCAGTAATGAGAATCTTTGTCTTCTTGACATTGAGCCTCAATCCATATTGGAGGCTTCAGTCCTTGACCCTCTGCAGCAGGCGCTTCAGGTCCTCAGTTTCAGCAAGCGGGGTTGTGTCATCTGCATAATGTAGATTGTTGATAGATCGTTCACCAATCTTGACCCCACATTCCTCCTCATAGAGCCCAGCCTCCCGGATAATCTGTTCTGCATACAGGTTGAAAAGGTATGGAGAGAGAACGCATCCCTGGCCCTTCCCAATTTTGAACCATGCAGTGTTCCCTTGCTCTGTTTTGACATCTGCCTCCGGGTCCAAGTATAGGTTTCGCTTTAGAATGATCAAGTGTTCTGGGATTCCCATTTTTCTCAGAGTCAGCCACAGTTTGTTATAATCCACACAGTCAAACGTTTTTGCATAGTTAATGAAACACAGATAGACATTCCTCTGGTATTCCCTGCTTTCAGCTAAGATCCATCTAACATCAGCTACAATATCCCTAGTACCACGACCCCTTCTAAACTCAGCCTGGACTTTTGGCAGTTCTCTGCTTATGTGCTGTTCCAGTCGTTTTTGGATAATCTTCAGTAGAATCTTGCTTGCATGTGAAATCAATGATATTGTTCTATAGTTTCCACATTCTGTTGGTTCACTTTTCTTTGAGATGGGAACAAATATAGATCTCTTCCAGTCAGTTGGCCAAGTGGTGGTTCTCCAAATTTGTTGGCACAACTTGGTGAGCATGTCTGGGGCAGCATCTGTTGGCTGAAATATGTCAATTGGTATACCATCTATTCCTGGGCCCTTATTTTTTGCCATTTCCTTCAAAGCAGCCTCAACTTCTTCTTTCATCAACATAGGCTCTTGCTCATATGTTGTTTCATTAAATTCTTCTGTGTCTGCCAATTCTTTTCCATACAGTATATTCTTTACATCTTCTTTTAAAACTTCCTGGATCATTTAATATTCTTTCTAAAGCATCCTTGATTATAGCAACTCAAAGTTAGAATTTGTTCTTCAGTTCCTTGAGCTTTAGAAATGCTAAGCAAGTTTGGCCCCTCTGATTTTCTGACTCCCAACTCCTTGCACATTTCATTGTAATATTTTACTTTGTCAACCTGTGCTGCCTTTTGAAATCTTCTATTCAACTCTTTAGCATCTTGAATTCTTTCTTGAAATTATTAGGGCATTAAATTATTTTACTTTTAAAGGAACTGTGTGAGGTATTTCCCTCTTATTCAACAAACTACACTCCACTGAATACACAAAATGTATGTGCTTTTGACACCTTCAAATATTTAAAAGTAGTGCAAATTTTAACTGAAAACTTTCTTGAACTTTCCAACACACCCATCCATATTTCCTCAGTCTGACTTATATTTTCCTTATCTCTTGTGTGGGAGTTGTTAGACCAACCTCCCTCTCCCTCTGATTCCTGTCATGTACAGGCTCTCCACTATAAGGTATAAATATACCTCATCACCTTCATTTTTATTTATTTATTTATTTTTTACTAACTACTAATACTGATTTTTTTTTTGTGTATGTGGACTTGTTTTCATTTTATTTGACCTTAATTTAAACTTGTACATGATTAACTTCCCAGAAGAGCTGCTCACATGAAACCCATATTGGACCAGAAAGCAGTCATAAGAATAGGCAAGGAAACAGTGCATGGTTCAAAATCAAGAAAGGGGTTCATCAAAGATGCGTCTTGTCTCCATACCGTCTTAATCTATATACAGAACAAATTATTTGGGAAGCTCGCTCGACTCTAGGAGGAGGAGTGTGGCATCAGGATTGGATGTCAGAAGAGACTGGAAATTGCACTAGAGTGTCGTGAAGGCAAACCAAACAGAAAACATGCCAAAGTAAAAGAGCTGAACAGGAAGATTTCAAAAGGTAGCTTGTTGTTTCTATGAGCAACTCATTGCAACCCTATGTACTGTCAGGCTGGGACCAAGGTCAAGGGGAGAACAAAGGATTCAAGGACTGTCAACATGCCAACAAAGGGAGTCAACAGTCTCTCACTCAAATGATTAAACTACCATGTAGTGCCCCACACTTCCCTTCTTAAACCACAATGGGATGTCCCTCTCTTCCCTCCCTAAAGACCCTTACTATAAAACCTGCCCTAATCCATTTTAGGGTGTGGTATTTCCTTGGTCTCTCCCTCTGCCTCTTTCTCTCTGCAGACCAAGGAATCCCGCCCAGGAGACCCCTTAATAATGGTTCTTTAGCTTCCTTTCTTTTGCTGGTCCCTTTCTTGAGTCCTTGGCCTTACGTTCAATGCAAAGACCTAACATGTACAAGAGCCCTAAACGCTGTTCTATCCTGTGCCAACCTCGCCATCTCAAATGCACTCATTCCCACCACTCCAGTCACAGAATAGATCCATCTTATCGAGGGTCTTCCTCTCCTTTGCTGCCCCTCCCCTTACCAAAAATGATGTCCCTCTCTAAGGACCAGTCCCTCCTTGCAACATGCCCAAAGTATGTCAGACGAAACTTCAGAATCCTTGACTCCAGGAGCATTCTGGCTTCACCTTCTTCAGGACAAACCTGTTTGTTCTCCTAACAGTCCATGGTATATTCAACACTCTTCTTCAGCATCACAGCTCAAAGGCATCAATTCTCTTTCTATCATCCCTATTCACTGTCCAACTCTCTGATGCATAGCACATAATTGCGAAGACTATAGCCTGGATCAGGTGTACCTTAGACTACAGCCTGACGTTGTTGCTCTTCAGTACTCTTGAGAGGTCCCTCACAGCTGACTTTCCCAATGCAATTCGTCTCTTGATTTCCTGTCTGCTGTTACCAAGAGTGTTGACTGTGGAGTCAAGCAAACTAAAACTGTTAACTATCTCAATCTCTTTACCATCCATACTGATGCTGCCAATTGGCTCAGTGGTGAGAATCTTTGCTTTCTTGATGTTGAGCTTCAATCCATATTGAAGGCTGCAGTCCTTGACCTTCTGCAGCAAGCGCTTCAGGTCCTCCTCAGTTTCAGCAAATTCAGTTTCAGATGCATTCATTGCAAGGCAGCTTGAGAAGGCAAAACAAAGTATTATGACTGGAGAAATGGGATTAGGTCTGTGAGAGATGATAAAATTGGCTCAGGATAAGGCAGGATTCAGAGCTGTTATAAATAGGGTCACTATGAATCAGCGGTCACTTGCTAGCACATAACAACAATAACAACAACATGGGCAATATGTTGAATGACCCAGAAAGCATCCAAAGAAGATGGAGAAAATAGAGAGTCACTGTACCAAAGGGAATGGACTAACATTGAAAAATTTCAGGATACGTACAATAAGAGCAAGAGCCAATGGTAATGAAGGAGGAAGTGAAAACTTCATTGAAGGCAATGGCAAAAAATAAGGGTGCAGGAATTGATAGGATACTAATTGACTTGTTTCATTTAACAGCCTCAGATGTGCTCACCAGTCCATTCTAGGAAATTTGAAGGACAGCGGTCTGGCCAATGGGTTGGAAGAGGTCCTATTTGTTCCTATTCCCAAGAAAGGTGATTCAACACTATTGAGCTATCAAATAATATGACATGCAAGAAAAATGCTGCTGAAGATCATTTAAAAATGATTAGAACAGTACACAGATAGGGAAGAAGATCAAGCAGGATGTAAAAGAGGCCATGATACCAGGATGTCATTTCTGACGTCACATGGATCCTGGCTAAAAGTAAAGAATAGCAGAAGAATGTCTATTTTATGCATTCTTCGTTGACTATGCAAAAAAAAATTGACTGTGTGAATCATAACAAGTTATGGCTAACATTGAGAATAATGAGAATCCCTAAACCCTTAATTGTTTCATGTGAAACTTAGACCAAAAGGTATTGTGTGAACAGAGCAAGGGGACACTATAAGGTTTAAAATTAAGAAAGGTGTGCGCCAGGGTTGTACCCTTTCTCCATACCTATTCAATCTGTATGCTGAGTAAATTATTCAAGAAGATGGGCTCTATGAAAAAGAATGTGGCATTAAGACCAGAGGAAAACTCCTCAATATCCTGTGTTATGCAAACGAGAAAACCTTGCTTGCTTAAAGTGAGGACGATTTAAAATATTTTTGCTGAAATGCAAAGGATACAGCCTTCACTATAGATTGAATCTCAACATCAAGAAAATAAAAAGACCTATAGGCAACATCATGATAGATGGAGAAAAGACTGAAACTGTCAACAACTTCCTCTTACTTGGAACCCCAATCAACACCCTTGGTACCAGCAGGCAGGAATAAGGAAACGCACTGCACTGTGAAAATATGCAGTCAGGAACCTCTCTAAATTTTTGAGTATTAATGATGTCAGTTTGAGGACTAAAGTGCATCTGATCCAGGCCATGGTCTTTCCAATCACTTGCTGTGCATCTGAGAGCCAGACAATGAATAAGGATGTCTGAAGAGTTGGTGCCTTTGAATTGTGGTGTTGGAGAAGAATACTGGGCATCTTATGGACTGCCAAAACAACAAACATATCTTGGAGAAAGTGCAACCAGAGTGCTCCATGGAGGTAAAGCTTCGTTTTGATAAGGCCCACGAAAAAGCTTTGTTTCACATACTTTGGGAGTGTTTCTAGGTAATACTATTCCTTGGAGAGGGATGTGGTGCTTGTAAAAGCAGAGGGTTGGTGAAGGAGAGGAAGACCCTCATTTAGGTGGATTGACCCCAAAAAAAATCTCCATTCATGTTAAGCATTCTGTTTTTTTAGTCAATCCCACCAGGAATTATCAAGATGTTTTTCCTGACATTGTTTCTTCTGTAGGAAAGGACTAAATATCTCTTCTCTGAACTATCAAGTATCCTGGAGCCGTGAAGGTTATATAAATTACAACAATATCTGTGAATCTATGGATTATATGTCTCCTTGTCTAACTATCACGTCCCTGAATTCAAGGTTCATGCTTACTCATAAATTCAGGATTTAATACAATGTTTAATAACACCATAGTAGTTGATATATGTGGAAATAAATTAAACTAATTGTGGTAAATGCCAGTAGGAAGATTAGACATTCAAGTCCAGAAAACTACTCTATTTAATTAAAAATAACCATTAATTAATGTCACTTTCATTATAAATGTAAGTTGAATTATGAAACTGAAACTTATAGTAATGCCAAGAAATGGTCATTTAATGACATATACACATAGGGTTATGGTTCAAGTAGGGATATGAGAACAAAGCAAGGCATAAAATAATAACTTGTCAGTACATCTCAGTGCTTTCCTTGCAAGAGGGTTCCTTGTTTCTAGATTAATGATTCCAGTCTAAGTCCTTTACTTGGAAATATTTTTCTAATACACAGACAACTTATTAAATTTCAAAAATTGATAACATTACATTTTATTCTTCTGATTGTCTACATACTTAGATACTTCCTAGTTTGTGCAATTTCTCCTGAAATATTCCACTTATCTTATGGAAACGTGTGAGAAATTGGTCTATATTTTCAAGTCTGATATAAATTCATGATATTTTATTTATGAAACTCCACTTAGAATAGATTATTCTTGACTCAGAAGTTGTGAACCGTATCAACTTTGGTTTAACTTATAAAAGGAAGCTAAATATTTCCAATATTGGTTTGTGGTTTCAATAATTCATGGTAACACAGTGCAAGTATTTCTCTCAACTATAAAGTTTGACTCATCCAACTAAATGTCACTGAGTTAATTCATGTTGTTGTTAAATGTCTTCCAGTTGAGTACAACTCATAGCAACCTATGAACAGATCTGAACCCTTCCTTATCCTGCACCATTCTTATCCCTGACACACCGGAGTCCACTGCTGCAGACACTGTATCAATCCACCTCACTGGCGGTGTTGTCACTGACCCTCCACCTTACCACGCATGATGTTCCTCGCCGAAGAATAACCTTTCCCAGCAATATGTCCAAACTATGTGAGACGAAGCTTTCACCTATGCCCTCACGGAACACTCTGGTTGCACTTTTTCTAAGACATATGTTTATTCTTTTCGCAGTCCAAGAGATATTCAGTATTCTACTCCAACACCACAACTCAAAGGCATCAATTCTCCTGTCATCAGTGTTTGTTGTTGTGTACCGTCAAGTCAAAACCGACCCATAACTGACTCTCTGGCAGGTTTTCAGAGGCAGTTAACTGCATGGGAGGAGAAAACCTATCCTACTCCCATGGAGCAGCTGGTGAGCTCGAACCACATGCCTTCAGGATTGCAGCACACCTGTCCATCTTTCTCCTGTAGAGTGGATTTGAAACACTGTCACGTTTGGCTTTTGATTAGCAGTACAAAACTCTACATACTATGCCATCAGAGTTCGTTTGGTTACATTCTTATTGAGTTCATGCCTGAGATAAACAGCTCAGGATTCAAGCACAGAATAAATTAAAATATCCTTCATGTTGATAATAAGTTACTTACTGAACAGATACCCATAAAACCCTCCAATAGCTTAACATCAAATTTTCTTAAACTATACATATTAAAATACCCTCCATTATCATAAAGCACAGATATGATAATGCCATTTATTTGCTATTTTTAAACTGCTCACCATAGCTTATAAACTTAACTCTTTAATAGTAGTGCAGATCTTTCTAATCTAGCCCCAATCACTTTAGGAATTTTCTATTTTTCCACTTGTCTCTAGCAGAAAATGCATCCTATTCATGAGTCAAAATGAAACCAAGTTTTGATCAAACTCTGGCTTTCACACTTATTTTGCTATTTTCTTAGGCGTTAGCTTTTTTTATGAAAAATCATTTGTTAAGACAATTTCACACATAAGGAATGCAATGATTGCAAGCTTGGAAATTAGTTATACAATTATATTTCTCTATTTAAGAAAGAAATAGCAGTAACAACTAAAAAACAAACAGCAGCAAAATTAGTAAATGCTGACAGATTCTAGACACAGATAGATGCTAGACTTTAAACTAGTGTAGGTTAGAACAGTTATGTCTAGATATTGGTACTTTCTGAAGTTTCCCTCATAACGGTGTCACATTTCTTATATCTCATATTTTCTACTTTTTGTTTTACCTGACTGCATGTTTTTTCTTTGAAGTCCAATTCAAATAGCACCTATCTAGGAAAGCCTTGTATAATGCCATGTACTGGTATGGTATTGTTATCTATGTTCATCTTCTTCAATGGAAGGTATGCTTCTTATTCTTACTACCTTTTGCATGACTCTATCATAGCCTAGTAGGATTCCTTACGGAGATAAGGAATCAATGTTTATTTATACAGTGCCTGACAGGTGAGTACCTTGGATGAGATGAGCCTTGGCTGGTGGTAGGTCCCGTTTTACTGGCTTGTTCCCTCGTCCTTTTCCATCATTTTGCTGTTCCTGTGCTTCTCTAAGATCACCTGGATTTGTTCGCATATCAGCAGCTGGTCGTCCGTCCACTTCTCTCCCCTTGTAACTGCCTCCTTTTCTGTCAGATGATCGGTCTGTTCTTGCTTCTATAGGAGGAAGTTTCGGGACCATTACAGGCCGAACCTCCAGTTGTGCCTTGGATTGAACAGTGGGTGATTTTATAGCAGGCGGTGGTACGGGAGGGGGTGGAAGATCTAAAAAAGAAATATTTAAAATACCATAAATGTCTTACATGTATAAAACTGTCAAATAATAATGTCTATCATTGGATTTATAGTCAATTGTGAGATACTGATAACTTAAATGAAGTGTAACACTTGATTGCCTCTGTTATATCCAAGTTATTGTTAAAACTTTGTTTGGAAAGAACACCTTTGAAGTTGTTAAACTTAGATGAAAACATACTGAAATAGAATAGGTAATATTTCAATATGGAGTTTCTTCTTTATAAAAGAAGATAAGACAGAGAGACATGGAGAAGGCCATCTGAAAATGGCAGAACAGATTGGAATGGCCTATAAGCCAAGAAAAATCCAAGGATAACCAGCTAGCTTGAGACTCTAGGCAAGAGGAGTGGGACAAATTATTTGAGTTCTTAGAATGAATTTACATGGCTGATACTGTAATTTTAAACTTCTGTCTTTTGGAACCATTAGACAATACATTTCCGTTCTTAGAACGCATCCAATTTATGGTATTTTGTGATCCCATTCCTAGGTAAATAATTAAATTTTTAAAAGTCCCCAGTTTTAGAGTATCTTCTTTGTTATCTGGTGAGCTGATACGTAGCAATTCTTTCATTATAACCAGTTAATATTCAGCCTATGTGCTATAACTTCCTCTTTTCCCAACCAAAGCTGCCCTTACTAATTGATTCTAGCACAATGTTGCTGTTCTTTGATGGGTATCTTTACTTGTTCAGACAACCACTTCAAATTGATTGAAATTGGCACTTGAATTGAGACCTATTTGCCATCTTTGATCTATGATAAATCCCTTATTATTTGTAGATGAGGAAACTCAAGTAAATAGGCCTTAGGTTACTTCTAAATGTCAAAGCTAGATACAATCACAACTAGGATTAATGCTCTTGGATTCCTTATGTTTCTTTTAAAGTTGTTCATACAATTTTCTTCTATCATATACCATCCATAATAGAATCTTTTCACTTTGTATACTCAATTCTTTTGTACTCAATTTTGCAATCAGATAATCAATGGTATAAATACATATACACACCAAAAACCCCATACAGATATATAATATGTATATAACATGTATGGTGAAATATGAGTCCATATATAATGTAACATAATATTGTATAACATATACTAAGAACAAGATATTATTTACAATCAAGTCAGAATCCACTCATAGCTGACCCTCCAACAGGCTTAAAAGGCAATAAATCATATGGAGTTGGCTGCCCAGCTTTTTCCCCCTCAAAAAGCAGCTGGTGGATTATAACTTTGTGCCTTTGGGTTGACAGTGTAGCGCCTTACTACAAGGCCACAGAGTTCCCCTTAAGAGTTAGATTAGACAAAAAAACCCTCAGATATTACGGAAATATATGTTTCTTTAACTAGCGTTATTTTGAGCCTAGCAATAAAGAGTTGTGCTGCTAACCCAAACACAATTCATGAGGTTGAATTCCACCAGCTGCTTCAGTGGGAGAAAGCTAGGCAATCAACCTTTGCTCGATTTCATGTCTCTTTAAGCCCAGTGGAGGGTGAACTATGAGTTGGTTCCAACTGGATGGTCCATAACAACAAAAACATTGTTGTTTTATAGATCTACCCATATATACACTCTTGGGAGGAAGGGGATAAAATAATAGTAAGTTACATGGAAGAATGAGAGTATTCTGTAGCTTCATATTGTTCTGGTTCTAATATGAAGGATGGATTTACAAAGCTGACTTTAATCCAGGACACCAAAAATTTAATACTTAGTTCAAGTGAGTAATGCTGCAGTTGATGAAACTGCAACAGTGGTTTAGAAGATACATTGGATTGGAATACATGAAGTAAAAACCATTATTATTTACTGATTAATGGAATGCAACAGACGAGGAAGAGGGGGAAATCTGAGCTATCTTTCAGAATTTTGCTTGAGTTGATTATGGAGTTGACAGATGAAGAATGCAGAATTAGGAAAAGAGAGTTTGCAAATAAGAGTATGAGTTCGACTTTACAAAATTAAATAGGAGAGGCCTTTTGCTTTTCCAGATGGAAATGTCCAAAAGGTACAGAGACATAAAATCTGAGTTTCAAGAGAAAGCAAAACTAGAGATGTAGTAATTTCAGAATGATCAGCATAAGTATCTTTTTAGTTACTTTTTTACAAATGGTAGGTAGTTTCCACATTTGAACAGTAATGTCTATGTGGCAGAACAAATCATTAGAAAGGTAAACATAAAACATTTATTGTTTATTCTATATAACCTCAAGATTTTAGACAAAAAATAGTACATTTATATGAAAAAAAATTCAAAAGGACATAAAGTTAAAACTGCAAAGTATGGTCCCTCAATTCTCTTCATGCAATGCCAAATCCTCACAGCTGGTAGTTCAAAGAATGATCCAGTGGTCTAGTGGATATACTATTGAGCTGTCAAACGAAAGGCACACAGATCGAATCCACCAGGTATTCCAAGGGAGAAAAATGGGCAATCACCTTCTGTGTGATTTACAGCCTCTCAAAACCCACAGGAGTTTCAGTTATGTGCTGGTTTTGACTCGAAGGCACGTAACAACAATATTGGTAATTAAAAATAATCAGTGTTTATTTCTCAATGAATCATACTTCTACACACAAAAAACAATGACAGCACATCACATAACTCCAGGGAAGCATCATTACTATCACCAACCATGTTAATGGTATAGTTGGAGCTACTGTTGCCTTTTTGTCCAGCTGGATATGGTGGCTTGATAAAATATACCATACAGAAATCTATATCCTTCCTTATTAATAACATAATGGGATTGCACCTATTTTTTTTTTGTTTTTTCAAACTTATCAGTGTTAACTTAGGGAGCTCTGGTGACTTAATGGTAAGGAAATGTGTTTCTAATGCAAAAGAACACACTCTGAATCTACCAGCTTCTCTGCAGAAGGAGGATGGGAACTCTCCTCCCATGCGATTTAATGCCTCTGAAAACCCACTATAATCAGTGGTGGGGTGGCTCTGATTCGATGATGCACAACATCACCGCCAGTGTACACATTCCCATTTAAGTGTATACAAATCTACCTCGTCCTTTGAAAGAATGTATAGTATTTTGTTATATTTAAGTGATTATTTATTTAACAAGTCCCCAGTATGGTATCTTTATACTCCTACCAGAATTTTGTTATTACTGACAATGATTGCTTAACATTTATGAGTGAGAAAAATCTTTAATATTAAATTTTTATCTTGATAATTTTTACCACATTAGCGAATTTGAAGTCCTAGGTACCAATCAATTATAACCTAGAATTATCCTCCCCCCCCCAGCTCCCACACAGTTTGTAACTCATATATTTAACTTAAGCATCAGTTACCGTCCTTAAATTAAATACTAAAGTTCAGTAACCTTTTGTATATTCATAAAGTTGTGTGACCATCTGAAAAATCTAGTCCCAAAACATTATCATCAACCCAGTACGAGCCCTCCATGTGCACTGGCAGTCACTCCTCATTCTCTGGCAACCATTAAAATTCTGTCTCTACAGATTGGCCCATTCTAAACATACCGTGTAAACAAATGACACTTTATGGACTTTATACCTAACATTTTCACTTTCATTTGTACTTATATTTTTCCCAGGATTTTTGTATTGTTGTTGTTGTTGTTGTTATGTGCCGTCGAGTCGTTTGCAACTCATAGCGACCCTATGTACAACAGCCCTAAACCCTGCTCTATCTTGTGCCAATCTCATTGCCTCTGACACACCCATCCCGAGTGCCCCAGTCACTGAATCAATCCACCTCATAGAGGGTCTTCCCCTCCTGCGCCGCCCCTCTACTCTGCCCAGCATGATGTCCCTCTCCAAAGACCTGTCTCTCCTTACAACATGGCCAAAGTATGTTAGACGAAGCCCCAGAATCCTTGCCTCCAAGGAGCAGCCTGGTTTAATCCTCTCTACGATGAATCTGTTTGTTTTCTTGGCAGTCCATGGTACATTCAATACTCTTCTCCAGCACCACAGCTCAAAGGCGTCAATTCTCCTTCTATCCTCCCTAGTCATTGTCCAACTCTTTGATGCATAACAAGTGATTGCAAAAACCATGGCCTGTATCAGGCGGACCTTAGTCTCCAGAGAGACACTGTTGCTCTTGAGTATTTTGGAGAGGTCCCTAATCGCAGACTTTCCCATCGCAATACGTTTTTTTATTTCCTGGCTACTGGTGCCAAGAGTGTTGACCGTGGAGCCAAGCAAACTGAAGCTGTGAACAATCTCAATCTCTTCGCCATCCATCATGATGCTACCGATTGGTCCAGAGGTGAGAATTTTTGTCTTCTTGTCATTGAGTTTCAGTCCATATTGAAGGCTGCAGTCCTTGACCCTCTGCAGTAAGTGCATGAGGTCCTCCTCAGTTTCAGCGAGCAAGGTTGTGTCATCTGCATAACGCAGATTGTTGCGTCCACCAATCCTAACGCCAAGCCTCTCCTCATAGAGCCCTGCCTTTCGGATAATCTGCTCTGCACACAGGTTGAAAAGGTATGGAAACAGGACACATCCCTGACGTACACCCTTCCCAATTTTGAACCATGCAGTGTTGCCCTGCTCTGTTCTGACGACTGCCTCTTGGTCAAGTATAGGTTTCGCATTAGCACGATTAAATGTTCTGGGATTCACATTCTTCTCAGAGTCAGCCACAGTTTGTTATTATCCACGCAGTCAAATGTCTTTGCATAATCAGTGAAACACAGATAGACATTCTTCTGGTATTCTCTGCTTTCAGCCAAGATCCATCTAACATCAGCTACAATATCCCTAGTACCATGACCCCTTCTAAACCCAGCCTGGGCTTCTGGCAGTTCTCTGCTGATGTACTGTTCCAGTCGTTTTTGGATAATCTTCAGTAGAATCTTGCTTGCATGTGGAATCAATGATATTGTTCTGTAGTTTCCACACTCAGTTGGGTCGCCCTTCTTTGGGATGGGAACAAATATAGATCTCTTCCAGTCAGTTGGCCAAGTGG